ACGCAGACACCTGACCGACAGCAGCGACCTGAGGAGACGCAGTGGTCAGTGTGTAGAGACTCGACCCCGGCCGACGGGTAAACGTAGCCAGGTGACGGCCGGTCCTGGAGCACGTGCAGATCGCCACACGCTGTCCTCCAGGGGTAAAGGTGTCAACCCACTGATCCTGGATGACAGCGTTGCTCACCAGGTTCGTCGAGAACGAGGGGAGGTGGAAACCCGACAACGAGCCAGACGGAACCGCCGGACAAGGGAGGACAGTGGTGGACTGGGCAAGGACTGGGCCCCCAGAGGGGTCAGCCAAGGAGACTGGGACCGGTGCAGGAAGCGGTGTGAGCTCAGTACTGTCACGAAAGAAGCAACGGGAAGCACCTGAGTCAAGGGTGAAGGTGTGACAGGCCTCAGCCGGTGCGGTACCTGAGAGAGCAGTCTCTGTGGGTGCTGTACCTGAGAGAGCAGACTCGCAAACAGCCGGGACAGCACTGGAGGGAGCAAGTACAGGGGGCACCATACCAGAGAGAGCAGACTCACTAGTACCCAGGGCAGCGGGCTCTATACCTGGGTCAGGCGGCACACACAAGTAACAGTCTCCCTCGGCACTAACAGTCAATGCATACATGGCAGCAATAATAGCATCATAGTCAAGAGCAAAGACATCAACACCAGCCCTCATGAGCTCAGCCCAGCGGGGGCGCTCAACATCCGCACCCATCTCCTCACGCCAAGCGTCGTCAAGGCGGGAGAAGCAGCGGTACGGGGTGTGGAACCTCCCACACGTCTGTCCCTTGCGGTCACCTGTGCGAATGACATAAGAACAGCGGCCACTGCCCCCCGACGTCCCACGCTGAGCAAGCCACTCACGAAGCTGCTGGGTCGTCTGGGGACGCTGCTGCTGCTGGGAGCTCTGGCCCGAGCCAGTGCCTCCACTCCGACCTCCGCCGCCACCACTACCACCGCTCCGACCGCCACCGCCACCACCGCCACCACCGCCACCGCCGCCACCGCCGCCGCCGCCGCCACTACTGCCACTGCTTCCTCCGCCGCCCCCGCCTCCACCGCCGACCCCACTCCCACCAGCGCTCCCGCCACCGCTCCCTCCAGCACCGCCTCCCCCCCCACCTCCCCCACCTCCTCCCCCCCCAGCGCCACCACCACCACCCTTGCCCCCCTTGCCCTTGCCGGTGCGGCGCCTCCCACCAGGAGCAGAAGCAGCGCCAACAGACTCAGCACCAAGGAAGTCAACAGCAGCAGCAGTAGCGTAGGAGGGAGCGAGGGGAGAGGGAGAACACCCCTCAAAGATGGGGGTGCGAGGAGCGCCACGAGCAGCACCGACAGCTACAATGCTCTTTTCGGCCGCGAGCAGCTGCTCCTCTAGGAGGGTGACTGTGAGCTCAGTGGGACAGCGAGCAAGGAAGTGGTCTCGAACTGAGCTGAGGGTGTCAGGGAGACGGGTGACTATGAAGTGGAGTGTCCAGTACAGTGGAGGGGGGTTCTTAGCGCAGAACTCGGTGGGAAGGGCGGCACGCAGGCGAGCATCACTAGTGCGAAGGTGGGTGATAAGATCGGCGACTGTAGCAAAGGTGGACAGATCGGGGAACAGGTACGGCAGCATGAGGCGGCTAAGCTCGGCTGTGGCAGGCGAGGAGTAGCGAGCAACGACAGCATCGTACAGGGCCTTAGCGGATTTGCAGTCGCCAAAATGCTCGAGCTCAGCTAGCGGCAGGTGACTGCGAATGGCTAGGCGAGCAGCTGCGTCACGAGTCTGCCAGTGGGAACGAACACTAAGCTCAGCTGTGGCAGGGGGGGCAGGTGCAGCACCAGACGCGTAATCATAGAGCGACACATGCTCCTTGCTATCGCTCAGAAGGAACAGCTGCAGGTCATCCAGCCAAGTGGCGAACTTCACAGGGCGGCCCTCAGCATCGAACGACAGCACGCGGATGGAAGCCATAGCGACAGTGCGACTGAGCAAAGGAAGCTGCCACAGCGCTGCAGGTAGGTAGCTCGGCGGGAAGCGCGGCGGGCGGGCGACGCGGCGAGCAGGTAGTGCGGGGGGCGGGCTACGAAGCGGGCAGCGCGGGTGGGTAGGCGGCGCTGCAGGCGAGAAGTGCGGCGGGCGGGCTGCAAAGCGGGCAGCGGGGCGAGCGGGCGACGCGGCGAGCGGGCAGCGCGGCGGGCGGGCTGCGAAGCGGGCAGCGGGCGGGCGGGCGACGCTGCAAGCGGGCAGCGGGCGGGCGGGCGACGCTGGCGGGCGGCGCTGGCGGGCGACGCTGGCGGGCGACGCTGCGACGCTGGCGGGCGACGCTGGCGGGCGGGCGGGCGACGCTGCAAGCGGGCAGCGAGGCGGGCGGGCGACGAAACGGGCAGCGGGCGGGCGAGCGACGCTGCAAGCGGGCAGCGAGGCGGGCGGGCGACGCTGCGAGCGGGCAGCGCGGCGGGCGGGCGACGCTGCGAAGCGGGCAGCGGGCGGGCGGGCGACGCTGCGAGCAGGCAGCGCGGCGGGCGGGCTGCGAAACGGGCAGCGCGGTAGGCGGGCGACGCTGCGAGCGGGCGGCTCGGCGGGCGGGCGACGCTGCGAGGGGCGCGCGAGGGCGCTAGCGAGGGCGCGCGAGGGCGCTAACGAGGGGCGCGCGAGGGCGCTAACGAGGGGCGCGCGAGGGCGCTAACGAGGGGCGCGCGAGGGCGCTAACGAGGGGCGCGCGAGGGCGCTAACGAGGGCGCGCGAGGGCGCTAACTAGGGACGCGCGAGGGCGCTAACGAGGGGCGCGCGAGGGCGCTAACGAGGGCGCACGAGGGCGCTACGAGGCTAGGGCACGGGGTAGCGTGGTAACCGCATGCGAGCGGTGGTGGGCCCTTAAAAAAACGGTCGGTAGGTCCTAGGGACCTCCTGCTCTGATACCATTTCAGAATAACTAGGCAAGAATGAGTGCATTGAATGGAACAGTTGGGTACAAGTAGCAAACCCTAGTTGGGGTTGTACCCCATATTGGCTACCCCACTACAGCCTACCAACATATAACACATTACACTTTAACAATACGCCCCCTTCATAAGGCAACCGGGAGGGGCTCAAACAGGCATCAATTGTACCTGCCAGTAGCAGCAGCACAACCAGGCACAGACGGCTCATGTTTCCTTGCGGAGATGCAGATGCAGTACGAAAGCAAAGGGAGAAGATCAACGAGGGGCCGAACAGTGGCTGAGGGGTGATCAAACAGGGGCCAAGAGGCCCGAAACTTACCAGACCGCTGCTAGAGGAGTTTTTAACAGAGAGTCTTTGTTTATTGCGCAAAATTATGTCAATAGTGGCGTGTACCGGCTCGCATTTTTGCTCGCGTGTCGTTTAGCGAGCCGACTCCACTGGGAACAATTAGGGCAGCCAAAATAACTAAAACTCATCGAGAACGTGGATGCATTTTCGGGATGGATCAACCCTAAAAACGAAAAACTTCCTGGTATTTAGGGTTGATGCCTCCCGAGTCGCATTTGTTTCCGAGTGGGTAAATATAATATATATATATATATATATTCTTGTGCGTTTACTATCGGGTAGGTGATTGTCAGAATCCCAGCCACTAACCACTGAGATAAAAGGGCTTGTTTGTGTAGCGGGTGAGTGCGTCCATAACCCCCCAGGCCGCCATGCCTGTAACCCTTCCCTAGGATCAATCGGGGATCACCAGTGGACCTCTGACACCCCCCCGCACTGGGATGCCCGAGGTGCACACACCGGGATTCGAACCCGAGACCTTCGCTCTGATACCATGTCAGAATCCCAGCCACTAACCACTGGGATAAAAGGGCTTGTTTGTGTAGCGGGTGAGTGCGCCCATAACCCCCCAGGCCGCCATGCCTGTAACCCTTCCCTAGGATCAATCGGGGATCACCAGTGGACCTCTGACAGTGATATGTATCCCCCAGAATATAATATGTAGCGCCCGGTAGCGCTACCGACTGAGTCAGTACGCTGCCCGCGGGCAAACAAAATAAAACCCATGGCTTACGGCATGCCATTCGGGAGCCTCAACCCTAAAATTTTAGGGTTGAGGCTCCTTAGGATGGCATGCCCGCGACTGGGGTTTATTTTTTTCTTGCCCACGCTGACTCATTGCACTGTCTGCTGACGCGGGCAGTGCAATATATATTCCAGAATATAATATGTTATACGTACTCACGATCTGACACGCCGAATCATACTACCAGAAGAAGGCGACGCGCGCGTTGTAGTAGACGGAGGTCTAAACCTAAACAAAATAAAATGAACACATTTTCTGGTTCTGCTCGCAAATCTCTTTTAATCACGGTTCGGCGTAATCGCCTAGTCGTTTAGGCAGCTCTGGGTCGAAATCCTACGGTCAAGATTTACCGGCCCTACTTTGATCACCCTTCTTGCACTGTTCGGCCCCTGGTTGATCTTTTCCCGAATGTCTGACTTCGGATTGTATGGCAAAATTGCTATGGCCTGGGCCCATTGCTGAATGCCCCTGAATATATCGTGGTACTGCTGGGCTGGTTGGTACGTGTGCTGCAGGGGAGACACCGTGCAGTAGGGGAGACATCAACCCGGGTCGCCACCCGGCTCACCCGGTATGCCCCTAAACGACGCTACCCGGTGTGCCCCTAAATGACGCTACCCGGTGTGTCCCTAAACAACGTTACCGGGTTGATTTTTCTTTTGTCACGCCGCATATTTTCGACAACATTCCAAGTGACAGATTGAAGCCTGCCCGGACTCAGGGCATAGCGTGGAAGTTCCTGAATTTACTGGTGCCAACTGCTCTTGCTTCTGGTGAACTTTTGCGGGAAACCAATTGCTTGACCTTCGTAGCGAGTTGACTGTATAATTCCGCATTCATTAGCCAGCTCGGTTCAGTTCTAGCAACAATGAAGCAGATCCAATCTAGGTATTAGGCGGCTTATATATCTTACTTCATAATATGTTCGCAAATCGATTACGGTATTATGGCAGTGCAGTGCAGGAGAATGCGACCATCGTCTCCTTAATTCTGTGCATCACCCCTCAGCACCACTCGGCACCCCTTCGAAATCTGCTCACTTCTCATCTTTATCTCCCTCATGAGCACATGCGCCTGTCCTGGATAAAACCTTTCCCTCACCTCGTCGTCCTTTTGTCCCTCTCTTAAGGCTTCCCTAGCAGGTACCACATGCACCCACCAAAACTCCTCTAGCGCCGTGAACAGTAAACCCCAGTACTTTTCGTCTCTTTCCACCCTCCACAGTGCACTGCCGCCCCTTTTTGTCCATACGAAAAAATCCAGCCAATCTCGGTCGAATATTTCTAGCAGGCCTTGGATTTGGGGCATGTAGTAGTGCGGTACGGAGGGGTAAGGAGCGGCTGAGAGTGGTAAACCGCGGTTCCAGGGGCACTTGATTTCGAGGACGCCAGGCAAGTGGGGGGACGAGTGCAGGGAGAGAGGGTCGGAGGGGAGGAGACCATCGGGGGATGCACCGAGCCATGAGAAGGTTGGGTCAGAATCCCTGTATATCTGGGAAGGAGAGGGACGTAAACAGGTGCAAATACAGGCATGAATAAGACATTGTTCAGGAATATGGGGAAAGCCGCAATATAGGAACGTGGCGCGGAGGGTTAGAGGGGAGGAGATCTCAGGAGACGCACTGAGGCAAGAGAAGGTTGAGTCAGCTTGCTTGCCAATACAGAAGGGCAGCAAGAAAGGCGTGGAATACAGAGGCTGAACGGGAGCGAGGCGAGGAATCGAAGCACCAAGGTTCAGGTGAGAGGAATTTGTGAGGGGGGCAGAGAGGCAGGAGAAAGTTGAATTGTGGTGCAGGTACACATGATGGGATGCGAGAAAGATGAGGAGAAGCGGGACGGGCAGGGAGAAGGAAAAAAGGAAGAGAAGCAGAGAAGGCACAACTCCCCTGCCCCACACACAGCCTCACCCGGAACGTTCTATGCTCCACGTGCCCGCCTGTTATCCCTTCATACTCCCTCAGAGCCTCCCCTTCTCTCGCCTGCCCCCACTGCATGTTCATCGTTGCCTTACCTACAACTCCCTTACCCCACGCACACCCTCACCTGAAACGACCTATGCTCCACGTGCCCCCCTGTGAGCCGCTCATACTCCATCAGAGCCTCCCCCTCCCTCCCCTGCCCCCACGCGGTCGCCTTATTCCCACCTACAACTCCCTTACACCATGCACGGCCATACCTGGAACGATCTATGCTCCACGTGCCCCCCTGTGAGCCGCTCATACTCCATCAGAGCCTCCTCCTCCCTGCCCTGCCCCCACGCGGTCGCCTCATTCCTGGCAAACAGCGCCCTCAGCCCCACCTTCTCCTCCCACACCTGCTGTCGCCCCACCGCATAGAACCCCACCCCCCGGCCTTCTCAAACACACTGCAAACAGGCTGTCAGCCTGTCAGCTCATACCACGGAACCCCAAACATGCAAGCATCGTACCTGGAACGATCTATGCTCCACGTGCCCTCCTGTAAGCCGCTCATACTCCCTCAGCGCCTCCTCCTCCCTCCCCTGCCCCCACGCGGTCGCCTCGTTCCCAGCAAACGGCGCCCTCAGGCCCACCTTCTCCTCCCACAGCTGCTGCCTCCCCCCTGGAAAGAATCCCACGGCCTTCTCAAACGCGCTGGCTGTCAGCCGGTTGGCTCTGAGAGCGAACCACTCCTCTGTGCGCTGCTCCTCGCCGCCCTTGTCCAGATTCACTGTATCTCCCTGCGCGGATATCAGCGTTGCTGTGTTCCCCGTTGGTGGTGCGATCGGTGCTGGTTGCTCCGGCCGAAGCAGCCCTGGATTGCTGTGAGGGAAATCGACTAGAGTACCATCCCTCCCTAGTGTTGCTGCTGCTGCTGCAAATGCTCCCCCGTTGACTGATGGTGGTGCTGCTAGTGGTGCTGATGCTGATAGTGTTGCTCTCTGCCACGCTAACTGTGGTTGTGCTGGGGGCGATTTGGGCATCGGGGGTGGTATTTGGCTGCGAATGATCGCCAGCTGCTGCTGCACGTACTGCCAGCGCTCTGAAAGAAGGAAAGGAAAGGGAAAAGAAAGGAAAGGGAAAAGAAAGGGAAAGAAAGGGAAAAGAAAGGGAAAGAAAGGGAAAAGGGAAGGCAAAGCTCTGCTACTGCACGTGCTCCCAACGCTCTGTGATGTGAGGAAGGGTGACTTGTGAGTCGACTCAAAAGTGACTCCCAACATTCTGTGATGCGGCAAAGAATGGAGGGGGTACGCGCATGCACGAAACTGGAGGGGAAAAGAAGGAAGAGAAGGCGTAAAGATTTCAGGCAGCCACGAAATAGGAAGTGGACGCACGCACCAGCAGGAATGACACAACGGCAGCAATCAATGGTGAATCGCGAACGCCGTGACAATGGGGGGATGCAAAGGTTCCTTTATGTGCCGTGAGAATGGGAGGAACGCGCAAGGTTTCCGTTACCTGCTGGGATGATGATGTTCCCTCGACCTCTGTTCACCACCACTCCTTGCATCCCTTCCGTTCTTTCAGAAGCCGCGCATCTTGCATCCTCCCTTTTTCCGTCTTCCCTCCTTCCAGCCTCCCTTCCGGTCCCGTCCCTCTCAGCTTCTCCCCTCTCACCGTCCATCACCGCGAGCCTTTCTCCCTGCCTCCTCTCCCCTTGCATTTCCTCCCCCTGCCTCTCCCCTTCCCGCTTTTCCTCGTCGTGCCTGTCCTCCTCTGTCGCAGCTGCAGCCGCGCGACTCCATACTCCCCTTTGAAACCTCGTCATACCCGCTACAAGCATTCCCGGTCTTTTAACAGGGACGGCGGCAGGCGGCGAGGGGAGCGACGGCGGGGCGCGGCGGTGGGCGGCTGCACTTTGGTCGATAGTGCTGCTGTTGACCTTATCGGGAACCCAACAGTCCTCAAACCGGGCAGCGTGCGCGGATCGCCCAGTCACGTTCCGCCACGTGTCACGGGAGTCATTGCAGGCGCCGGCCTTCACCGTCCCGTTCCATTGACGTCTGCCGGCGGCCAGCAGAACGGCGACAAGAGGCCTCATAGTATCAAAGGGACCGACGTCGAATCTCGAATGTATCTGATGCGGTCTTATCTGTTGCCGTATCGAATCAAATCGTGCGCGCGCTTGCAATGTAAAGCTGCAGCTGGGTGGGTAGATCTGCCTGTCGGGCAAGAAAGCTCGGCGCGCTACTACCGAAGCTCGGCTGGCGGCCAACGAACCTCTTACTAGCTGATCTGTTAACCCAGACATCTCATTGACTAGGTGGTGTAAAAAATAACCGGGAAATCATCAGAGGCCAGCGAGCTCGCTGTAAGAGTCGAGCACACCAAGGGATCACAGCTGGAACCGTGAAGATCGCGTTGGGAAACTCGACAACAGCCCAACTTCTAGGTCCCCTACGAAATGCTTGAGGTATGGGAATCGGCATAAGAAATGGCGGGAAAAAAATGAAATCTATTTTGGGTGTTTGAACAAAAATCCTTCTTACAGTGCACCTCGTTGAACAATAGTATTTCCCACTTTGTTCAGTTTTGATAATCCGAGAGCTAATACATATTGGGCTGGGTCCTGCAAAACCTTTTCAAAGGCAACGAATTGCACTCAACCGCACTAAAGCTATTAAATTTGCAATTGCGGCAATTTTGCAAGCTGACCTTGCGTGGGTCGGAACTCCCAAGAATTCTAGTTTCCTCACAGCACAGCCTCTCCATTTAGTAGGCACCATCTGCTGCTAGCCTAGTTTCCTCTCAGGCGTTTTCGCGTGACGTAAACACTTTGGATCCATCAGGGTCGTCGTTAGCTCGCCAATTCAGGCATTTTGTTTCAGTCCATCGCTGCCACTCTGCGAGAACACGCTCTCGTGCGAATTTCGCATCTTGAAATCCCCGTCGTGAGGGAGTAAAAGTCGGTTTCGCGAAGTGCTGTAGCGAATTTCGACAGTATGGGGCGGGGATTCGTCGTTCGATGAAGCTTTTTGGTTCAGGCTTTCGGTGACCGACCACAGATCACCTGCAGCTAATAGGATCTGTCTGTGCCTGCCTGCCTGCTTCCGCCTGCGTGCTTCCGCTTGCCTGCTTCCGCCTGCCTGCTTCCGCCCGCGTGCTTCCCCTCGTTTCCCGCTCCACCCTCCCAAACCACTCATTGTTTGTGATCCACCCGTTCGCAAGACCTTCCACACCGCTTTGCACCGCAATGGACCTGCGAGAAACGGTTTCGCTTCCCCTGCCTCCATCGCTCCGCTCGCGCCTCCTCGCCGCCGGCTTTCTCACCGTCGCGGATTTCCACACACTCAAACCGGAGGACCTCGCACGCGGTGAGTGTACGAGTAGGAGAGGAATGAGTACGAGAGAGTATGCGATGCAGTATTGCAACTGAGTGGTCATTCTCCTGCCGCCGGCTTTCTCACAGTCGTCGATATTCTCACGCGTCTGTTAGACGACAGGCAGCAGCAGCAGTGTGTGGGTGTGAGAGGGTCAGTGTGTGGGTGTGAGAGGGTCAGTGTGTGGGTGTGAGAGGGTCAGTGTGTGGGTGTGAGAGGGTCAGTGTGTGGGTGTGAGAGGGTCAGTGTGTGGGTGTGAGAGGGTCAGTGTGTGGGTGTGAGAGGGTCAGTGTGTGGGTGTGAGAGGGTCAGTGTGTGGGTGTGAGAGGGTCAGTAAGGGAGAGGCCATTTCGTCTTGTGGCCGTTAGTTCTCTTGCTGCTGGCTTTCTAACAGTTGAGGAGCAAGTGCGTGCAAGTGCAAGTCCTTCCAATGCCCCCACTAAACCCGTTCCTCCTCCACCCTCCGATGCTTCCATCTCCAGATGCGTCTCTGTCCTTGGAAAATGCGCAGCATGTGCTGGGCGTGACGGCAGGCAGCAAGACGTGCTGGGAGGGAGCAAGGCAGCATGTGTTTCGATGCTCCCACACTGAGCCCGGCTCCCCTCCACCTCCACCCTTCCCCTCCACCCCCCTTTTTTTAACACCAGATGCGTCTCTGTCCCTGGAGGATGCCAAGCACGTGCTGGGCGTGGCAGCGGGCAGCATTCAGACGAGCATCATTCCCACTGCTGCTGGCATTGCAGGTACGTGTGTGTGTGTGGGTGGGTGTGTGTGTGGGAGTGTGGGTTTGTGGGTGGGCGGGTGTGTGCGTTTGTGGGTGTGTGGGTGTGTGGGTTTGTGGGCGTGTGGGTTTGTGAGTGTGTGAGTGTGTGGGTGTTTGGGTGTGTGGGTGTGTGGGGGTGTGTGTGGTTGGATTTGCAGTGTGCGTTCTGCATAGCAGGGTCAATTCCCGCATATGGCTCAGAGGTCACACCACACCAAACACCATCACACCACACCACACCACACCACACCACACCACATTCTACCGTAGAGCACCTCACACACTGGCAGGGGCAGGGGCAGGAGCAGAGGCAGGGGGCAGACGTTATGTGCTGAATAGAGCACTGAGCGCATGTATCTGTATTGTGTGTGTGCAGGTGCCCGCTCCGCGTGGGAACTTCTAGAAGCAGAGAGAGGCAGGGGCAGGGTGCAGACGATGTGTGCTGAGCTGGATGCGATGCTGGGAGGTGGGGTGGCTCTACAGGAGCTACAGAGATATGTGAGTGGGGCATGGTGCGATGGTGTGCACTGATGTGGTGTGTGTGCGGTGGTGGTGTATGGAGTACGTGTGGGTTGGGAGGGGTGTGGTGCTGCAAAAGCTGACCCACATGTTCAAGTACTATCTAGTACTATTATCTAGAGCATATTTATTTCACTTATGCGTTTTCTGTAATCTCTTATTTCTGTTCCCAACAATATAAATGAAGGGGTATTTAAGTAGCCCTGATCTGTTTATCCGTTGCCGTTTATCCCCGTCTGTTGCTTCCAGGTGGGCCGCCTGGAGTTGGCAAGACACAGCTGGGGTAAGGCTGGGTTGGGATGGGTTTGGATGGGATGGGATGGGATGGGATGGGATGGGATGGGATGGGATGGGATGGGATGGGATGGGATGGGATGGGATGGGATGGGATGGGATGGGATGGGATGGGACGGGATGGGATGGGATGGGATGGGATGCAGCTGATTGGGTTTTTGCCACGTGGTTCTGGTGCTGGTGCTGCGTCTCCCTGCCAGCAGCAAGGTGACTTGGAGTTGACAAAATAGTCTGCCCCTCTCAGTAATGGCTCCGATATCTCTCGTGGTGTTACTGCTGGTGTTACAGTTCGTGTTGTGTCTCCCTGGCAGCAAGGTGACTGTTGTGTCTCCCTGGCAGCAAGGTGACTGTTGTGTCTCCCTGGCAGCAAGGTGACTGTTGTGTCTCCCTGGCAGCAAGGTGACTGTTGTGTCTCCCTGGCAGCAAGGTGACTGTTGTGTCTCCCTGGCAGCAAGGTGACTGTTGTGTCTCCCTGGCAGCAAGGTGACTGTTGTGTCTCCCTGGCAGCAAGGTGACTGACGGAATATTTTGCCACTGTGGGCTCTGATATCTCTCTCGGTGTTACTGTTGCTGCTGTGTCTCCATGGCAGCATGCAGCTGGCAATCAACGTGCAGACGCCTGCTGTGCTGGGAGGGGTGGAGGGCGAGGCCGTGTACATTGGTAAGACTCATATTTCCTCACTTTCATTCTGCATGCCAGTTCAGTCGCACGTTCAACCAATCTCAGTCGAAGCAGGATGCAGCTAGCTGGCTATCAACGTGCAGACGCCTGCTGTGCTGGGAGGGGTGGAGGGCAAGGCTGTGTACATCGGTGAGTGTGACTCCTCCCGACTCAATCCACTTCCTCACTCTTCTCTCCTCTCTCTCCCCTCTCGCCTGCTGTGCTGGGAGGGGTGGATTGCGAGGCTGTGTACATAGGTGAGTGGTGAGGCGTCACTCAATCCGATCCCTTCATCTTCTCACCTCCTCACCTCTATTCTTACCTTCACCTGAGTCGCCTCGGAAGGCGCCTGATGTGCTGGGAGGGGTGGTGGGGTAGGCCGTGTACATCGGTGAGTGGTGGTGATACTCCATTTGGCTCGATACCCTCACCTCCTCACCTCTGTTGTTCCCCTCACTTGAGGTGCTTCAATTGAGATGGCTGACGCATGGGCAGCTCACTGCACTGCCTTGCTGCTGCCTGCCCCTTCGTTTTAACACCCTCAAGCCCTTATTTGCGTTTGTTTTCCCCACCAGAAACAGAGGGGAGCTTCATGGTGGAGAGGGCAGCAGAAATGGCCGACGCATGGGCAGGGCAGCACATTGCACGGCCTTGCTGCTGTGTCTGCCCCCACAGCACACTGAAATCCCAGCTCCCCTCTTTATCTTGCCCACCAGACACGGAAGGGAGTTTCATGGTGAAGCGAGCAGCAGAGATGGCCGATGCATGGGCGGGGCAGCACTCTGCGCGGCCTTGCTGGCTGCTGTGTCTGCCCCCACAGCACACTGAATTTCCAACACCCCTCTCTATCTTCCCCTCCAGACACAGAAGGGAGCTTCATGGTGGAGCGAGCAGCAAAGATGGCCGACGCATGGGCGGCTCACTGCACTGCCTTGCTGCTGTTTGCTGCTGTCACTGGCCCCACCACCACTGCTGCCCTGTGCCCTGTACACTGAAATCCCCACGCCACACCCGTCTACCCCCCTGTTTCCCCACCAGACACGGAAGGAAGCTTCATGGTGGAGCGAGCAGCAGAGATGGCGGACGCGTGGGCAGCTCACTGCATTTCCGCTGCCGCTGCCATAGACACACGTGCCCCAGAGACCACTGCCTCGCATCAAGCCTTCAGCCAATACTCGCAGCAGCACCACCAGCAGCACTTGCATTCAAATGCATCTGGGGCAGTGTCAGCAGCAGTGGCATCAAAGGCGTCGAGAGCAGCAGCGCTGGCAGGGGTGCATTACCTGCGCGTGTATGACCACACAGAGCAGACAGCACTCGTCCATTCTCTGCCGCACTTGCTCGCTCTGCACCCCAAGGTCCGTAGTGGTTTGGCATGTGTGGGTGGCATTGGCAGCAGCAGCGCAAGCAGGGGTGCATTACCTGCGAGTGTATGACCACACGGAGCAGACAGCACTTCTGCACTCCCTGCCACACCTGCTCGCTCTGCACACTAAGGTGTGTGATAGGCTGCCACTTGTGTGCATGGGTGGCATTGGCAGCAGCAGCGCTGGCAGCAGTGCATTACCTGCGAGTGTGTGACCACACGAAGCAGACTGCTCTCCTGCACTCCCTGCCGCACCTGCTTGCTCTGCAACCCAAGGTGGGATGGGTGGCACTGCGTGGTGTGTGTGATGAGTGCTGTGCGTGCATGGCTTGGGTATCAGCAACAGCAGCGCTGGCAGGGGTGCATTACCTGTGAGTGTGTGATCACACAGAGCAGAGCCCTCCTGTCCACACCCTGCCGCACCTGCTCGTCTGCACCCCAAGGTGAGTGCTGCGTTGTCATGCAAGAATCTAGTACGAAACTACGTTGCATCACAGATGTGGGTGTTTGGTCTAGTGGCATGATTCTCGCTTAGGGTGCGAGAGGTCCCGAGTTCAATTCTCGGAACACCCCATTTTGCTCTCTATTCACCTTCATGCAGTTTTAGCTTCTGAATCTGATTCACAGAGCTTTCAAACTGGCTATTCAAAACACAGAGGCAATCTCTTAACCAGGCTACCGTTCTCCATCATCATGATCATGAGGCTCGTTTCGTTTCTTGCGATGTGTTTTGAGATGTCTCAAAACTTTCTTAACCAGGCTACCGTTCTCCATCATCATCATAGGAGGTTCTTTTCGTTGTCTTAAACGCACATAACTACCCAAGTTGATGCAAGTAAGGCCGCTGCAGCCCTCTGGTCTGTTCTTGACAAGTCTTGCACACAAGTCTTGACATCACACAGCATGTTAAGCTAGTGGTGATCGATCGTCAACTTTCATTTCCGCCATTGGTCTGCTCTTGAGATTCCTCATTCGTTGCTCGCGCTTTCCCTGTCGCCCTTTCCCTGTCGCCCTTTCCCTGTCGCCCTTCCTTACCCTTCCACAGGACAAGCCAGTGGTTATCAACAGTGTCACATTCCACTTCTGCCATGGCTTCACTCACATGGGTGTGCGCTCACATGTTCTCCACTCTCCCTGCTGCCCTCCCTCTCCCTGCTGCCCTCCCTCTCCCTGCTGCCCTCCCTCTCCCTGCTGCCCTCCCTCTCCCTGCTGCCCTCCCTCTCCCTGCTGCCCTCCCTCTCCCTGCTGCCCTCCCTCTCCCTGCTGCCCTCCCTCTCCCTGCTGCCCTCCCTCTCCCTGCTGCCCTCCCTCTCCCTGCTGCCCTCCCTCTCCCTGCTGCCCTCCCTCTCCCTGCTGCCCTCCCTCTCCCTGCTGCCCTCCCTCTCCCTGCTGCCCTCCCTCTCCCTGCTGCCCTCCCTCTCCCTGCTGCCCTCCCTCTCCCTGCTGCCCTCCCTCTCCCTGCTGCCCTCCCTCTCCCTGCTGCCCTCCCTCTCCCTGCTGCCCTCCCTCTCCCTGCTGCCCTCCCTCTCCCTGCTGCCCTCCCTCTCCCTGCTGCCCTCCCTCTCCCTGCTGCCCTCCCTCTCCCTGCTGCCCTCCCTCTCCCTGCTGCCCTCCCTCTCCCTGCTGCCCTCCCTCTCCCTGCTGCCCTCCCTCTCCCTGCTGCCCTCCCTCTCCCTGCTGCCCTCCCTCTCCCTGCTGCCCTCCCTCTCCCTGCTGCCCTCCCTCTCCCTGCTGCCCTCCCTCTCCCTGCTGCCCTCCCTCTCCCCTCCATCCTATTCCACATAACCCACGCGGCAGGTCAAGCTGGTGGTGATCGACAGTGTCACCTTCCACTTCCGCCACGGCTTCACAGACATGGGTCTGCGCTCACCTGTTTACATTTTCCCTGCGCCTCTTCCTTATCCCTCCACACCACATGACCCATACCACAGGTGAAGCTAGTGGTGATCGACAGTGTCACGTTCCACTTCCGCCATGGCTTCACAGACATGGGTCTGCGCTCGCGCCTGCTGGCCTCCATGGCGAGGGAGCTGCTAGCGATTGCCGATGAGCACAACGTGGCTGTGAGTGTGGCTAGTGCATGCTTGCATGCATGAATGGGTGCTCGCCTCACATGAAGGGTGCCACTGTGCCAGTCTCCTGCTGGCCTCCATGGCAAGAAAGCTGCTTGAAGTTGCTGACGAGCACAACGTGGCTGTGAGTGTGGATCAGGGCATGCATGCTCTCCTCGCGTGGCTTGTGCATGTGCTGCGTTGACTTACCTCTTTGCCTGCTGGCCTCCATGGCGAGAGAGCTGCTTGCCATTGCGGATGAGCACAACGTGGCTGTGAGTTCTTGCAACATGAGAGTAGGGTGGAGCCTGCATGCTTGATTATGTGTGCGTGTGCTGCATTCACTTACCTCCGCGCCTGCTGGCCTCCATGGCGAGAGATCTGCTCGCCATCGCTGTTGAGCACAAAGTCGCTGTGAGCCCTCGCATTCTGCTTGCCTGCTTCCACGTGCAGCATGTTTGGTGCATTGTGTGTTGCACTCACTTACCTCCGTGCCTGCTGGCCGCAATGGCGAGGGTGCTGCTTGCGATCGCTGACGAGCACAATGTTGCTGTGAGCCCTCGCGTGATTGGTTACAAGAGCCATATGTCTCACAAATGCCAATTTTTTTGCGTGATGTTTCGCAAAAGCCAATTATGTTTCGCATAGTTGTTCCGGGAGAAGACCTCATAATGGTTCACGTGTTATGTGCACGTGTCATGCGCATGGGGCATGGGTCATGGGGCATGGGTCATGGGGCATGGGCCATGGGGCATGGGGCATGGAGCATTCAACTCAATGGCGTACAGGTGGTGTTGGTGAATCAGGTCCCGGCTCGTTCCTGCTCTCGGTGTGTATGCATGCCTATCCGCTTTGCCTCACTTTGGGTGCATTGTTTTTCGCAATCACCATGCAACCAAACAGCACTTGCTCTACAATGTGAAACATTCATGGGCCCAAACCACTCATTGGCCCAAACCACTCATGGGCATCACACACCCATCACAACCCCATTCCACCCTCCAATCAGGGGAGAGCTGGGCGCACGCATGCACCAATCGCGTGATCCTCTTCTGGAGCGGGGGCCAGCGATTCGCTCACCTCTTCAAATCACCTTACCTGCGGGCGGGCACGGCCCCCTTTACAGTCACATCCGAGGGCGTGAGGTCACTGCAAGACGCACAGAAGCGGCAGCGAGTGGAAGGGACTGAGAGGGCTCTGATAATGGCAGGCCCGGGTGGTCACTAGTAGGGTGCTGCCTCCAGTCGGCATGCCTGGTTTGTTGCAACTTTTGAGGCGCCTCAAAAGGCTTTTGAGGCGCCTCAAAAGGCAGGCCCGGGTGGTCACTAGTAGGGTGCTGCCTCCAGTAGGCGTGCCTGGTTTGTTGCAAGGCGCACACAAGAGGCAGCAAGTGGCGGGACTGAAAGCTCTCGTCTGGAGCGGGGGGCAACGATTCGCTCACCTCGTCAAGTCCCCTTTCCTGCAGGCGGGCACGGCCCCCTTTACAGTCACATCCGAGGGTGTGCGGTCACTGCAAGATGCACACAAGATGCAGCGAGTGGAAGGGAGTGAGAGGGCTCTGTTAGTGGCAGGTTCGGGTGGTCACTAATAAGTTGTTGCCTCCAAGCCACCACTTCTCCCTGTACAGTCACGTTTGAGAACATCACGTTGCTGTAGGACGCGCACAAGAGGCAGAGGTTGGAAGGGACTGAGAGGGCTCTGTTGATACCAGGTCCGGGTGGTCACTAGTAGGCAAGACGCACACAATGAGGCAGTCAGTGGAGGGGAGGGCAGGGAGTGGTGCCTTCAGCTGGTCTGTGTGTTCGCGAGTAAGCTGTTGCTGTTGCTTGAGTCGAATAAACAATGTCCGGGTGTTGTTGTCTGGTAGGTAGGTAGGCTGTTGCCAGACAACAGAAAGCATATTATAGCTCCCATAAGAGAACCCCCTCTATGGTACCACTGGTTGTTAGATCCAGGCAGGCCACCCCAGGCCACCACTGCATGTCTGCCTCCTTTACTGTCCCATCTGAAGGCATCAGGTCGTGACAAGACGCACGCAGATACCGCAACCCCCCCTCATCAACGGTAGGACTCGGGGTTTATTTCAGATCCCTAAGAAAAAGCGAGGGTGAACAGAACATTCGCCAGCATGGTTTTATAAATCCCTGCATTATTTTGTGATTAATAACATGCTTGCACTAACAGGGGGCTCCTAAAATAACGCAACCACTTTGGAAGACCACCTCTACAGAGAGAGTCTTGAGTCTTGACCACCACTACAGAGGGGTCATTCTCTGGTATTTGCAGGGGAACTACAGCAAGAGAGCCCTGCTCTTTGCAGGGCTGGCAGTTATATGGTGTACCCAGTACCCATTTCCTACGCATTGCTATATATTTTGAGCGCCTCTCTTTTCCAAAGATGCTTACACTCTACATGGTATACAAAAAAACAAGGGCGTACATTAGTCTAGAATGAGGCCACCATTGCTCCGCTTTCACCGCTGCTGCTGCTGCTGCTACTGCTGCTGTCCAGGTGACCACCCAGGTGGCCAATGCCGATTGGCCCACTGCTGCTGAGGCTGGGCTTGGCACTGGAGGGAGCTTGCCCGTAGCACCTTCGCGATCTGCTCACCAACCAGCAATGGATGCCAGACAGTGGGGAATGGACATTGGGCATTAAGCTTTGGACACACAGCAGCCGCAGAGGGGCACAACAAGCATGAATGAATAGGCTAAAAGGAAGGAGAAACAAAATATGTGACCTTGATGAGAGCAGTCAGAGCACAGTACCTTTTGATGTGACTATACAGAGGGCAGGCAGAGAAGAGCGCAGTACCTTTGGATGTGACTACAAGGTGAGCAGGCAGAGCAAGGTAACTTTATGTGTGACTATAAGGAGAGCAGGCAGAGCAAGGTAACTTTAAGTGTGACTAAAAGGAGAGCAGGCAGAGAAAGGTAACTTTAAACTGGACTTTAAGGAGAGCAGGCAGAGCGAGGTACCTTTCGATGTGACTATAAGGAGAGCAGGCAGAGCGCGGTACCTTTGAATGTGGTTGAGGATGATCAGGCGAGGGCCGGGAGGGATCTTGACCTCCTGCAGTGCACTGTGCGAGGGAGGACAGGCAAGGAGAGAGGGGCAGGGAAAGAGCGGGCACTGTCAGAGGCCTGGAAAGAGAGGGCCGGGAGGGATCTTGACCTCCTGCAGTGCACTGTGCGAAGGCAGACAGGAGGAGAGGCAGGGAAAGAGAGGCAGAAAGGAGGAACCATAGGAATCAGGATCCCATGTTGAGATGTTTCACATCCCTGATGTGGTCGAGGATGATCAAGCAAAAGCCGGGAGGGATCTTGACCTCCTGCAGTGCACTGTGCGAGGGTAGAAGCGAGGAGTGGCAGGGAAAGAGAGACAGGGAATGAGAAGCGGGTGGGTGTTGGGATCCCAATTTGTGACATCTCATATCCAGGATGATGAGTCGAGGGAATGAAAAGATGGGAGGGGCTACAATGCACGGCACCTCCTGACTGCACCTCCTGCAGGGCAATGCACCTCCTGCGTACAGGAGTTTCATGAGGAGTGCAGAGAGGATGACAGGATTTCATACTGACTTTTGAGGCGCCTCAGAAGACACCTCCTGCAGAGCACTGCACCATGGCAAGGAATGGACAGAGTTTAATGAGGAGCCACACGAGGAGCGCAGAAAGGATGACAGGATTTCATATTTTCCTCTCCTTGCAGGTGTGACGATTCACGCCATGCGTCGCGCTACTGTAGGTTCTCTCCTGCAGGAGGTTAATCGAGATACCACGGAACCGACAGAACGAGAGAAACGCTTAGCAGCACGTTGTTGTGCTGCTCCCTTGCGTGCTGCTAAGTGTTTCTCTTGTTCTGTCGGCTCCGTGGTATCTCCCGTAATATTCTTCCGTGTCGACAAATTGACCAAGCCGGCCCCTTGCAGCTGAGAATCTACAATAGCGAGACACATGGCGTGAATCGTTACACCTACGAGGAGAAGACAACTGACTCAGTGGACTCGCCCTGTTGACTCAGTTGACTTAGGGAGGCCACTTTAGTCTCAAGCTTCGACAGCTGGGCTGCCAAAGAGTGACGACCCTCCCACCTGTCGCTGAGCAGTGGCAGTGTGCGGTCAGTGAGCAGCCCCTTCTTGATAGACGGGTGATAGATGTGTGAGTGGTTGGAAGCACACGCACCTGTTGTTCAGCAGCATCACCCACGCACCTGTCATTCAGCAGCGGTAGAGTGCGCACAGTCAGCAGCCCCTTCTTGATAGTGGGGTGATAGGGGTCACAGCTGGTGCGTGAGTAATTGGCAGCTGCAGCACACGCACCTGTCGTTCAGCAGTGGCAGTGTGCGGTCAGTGAGGAGCCCCTTTTTGAAGTTCTTCTCATACTTGCCCAGCCCCAGCTCCTGCAGCATGGCCTTCGACTCCATGTATTCTGACGGCGTTGCGTCGCCTTCGCCTGAGAATGCCTTGCCCAGCTGTATGAGAGGGAGAGGGGAGGGGTTGGGGGCTTTTTATTCCACACCAAGGCCAAGTCCGGCTCCTGCAGCATGGCCTTCCCTCCCCTTCCTCCAACCCTCCCCCTCCCTACACACACCCACACACCCACACCCACACCTCCCCCCACACACACACACACACGCACACGCACACGCACGCGCGCGCGCACGCGCACACGCACACACACACACACACACACACACACACACACACACACACACACACACACACACGCGCGCGCACGCACGCGCACACACACCTTCCCCACAACAAACACACCCCGCATGCACGCACCTGGAAAAAGGCGCCTTGGAAAATGGCAAATCCAACGCCCGTGGTGAGTGCGTTCAGCACCGCGTTGCCCGCCGGCCCGCCCACCCCGCTCACCACTGAAAACGCTATCCCTGACCCAAACGCTGCCACCGCACTGTGGGCAGGGAATGGGAGGAGGGGAAGGGGGTAGGGGGGGGAGGGGAGGGGGTAAGCTAAGGAGCTGGAGTGCAAGGCTTGGGGCCCGGTCCGCCCACCCCGCTCACCACCGAGAACGCCACCCCCGACCCACACGCTGCCAACGCACTGTGGGCAGGGACACCTTGACGCGAGAGAGGTGGGAGGAAGGGATGCAGGGGGATGGGTAGCAGGGGAGGGGATGCATGGAGTGGGAAGGCAAGGAGGGGGGAATTAAGAGGAGAGAGGTTTCGGAGGTGAATGGCAGCATGTACAGGGGTGACTTTTTGAGTCGACTCAAAAGGTGACTTTTGACTTTTGAGTCGACTCAAAAGGTGACTTTTGACTTTTGAGTCGACTCAAAAGGTGACTTTTGACTTTTGAGTCGACTCAAAAGGTGACTTTTGACTTTTGAGTCGACTCAAAAGGTGACTTTTGACTTTTGAGTCGACTCAAAAGGTGACTTTTGACTTTTGAGTCGACTCAAAAGGTGACTTTTGACTTTTGAGTCGACTCAAAAGGTGACTTTTGACTTTTGAGTCGACTCAAAAGGTGACTTTTGACTTTTGAGTCGACTCAAAAGGTGACTTTTGACTTTTGAGTCGACTCAAAAGGTGACTTTTGACTTTTGAGTCGACTCAAAAGGTGACTTTTGACTTTTGAGTCGACTCAAAAGGTGACTTTTGACTTTTGAGTCGACTCAAAAGGTGACTTTTGACTTTTGAGTCGACTCAAAAGTCACCTCATTAAGAGGAGAGAGGTTTCGGAGGTGAATGGCAGCATGTACAGGGGTGGGGGCGACGGGGGCGAGCGAGGAAGGGCGGGAGGGGGGGAGAAGAAGTGAGCATTGCAGGCTGGTGGTTTCTTCTGGAAAGAGAAACATCGTAAGCACTCAAATCAGATGTCTTAATCAATAGCTGGCTTGCTCCTGTGTTTCTCGTTACTTCCTTTTGCGACTCCCACTCTGTTGGTGTTGCTTTTGAGAAGTCTCAAAAGCAACAGCGACTCCCACGGCCGCATAGCACCCTCATTTGGATCGCTTGTCTGCTGCTAGTTCCCCCGCCCCTCGCCTCCTTCCACCCCTCACCTCCTTCCACCCCTCACCTCCTTCCACCCCTCACCTCCTTCCACCCCTCACCTCCTTCCACCCCTCACCTCCTCTCCGCCTCGAAAACCGACTGTAGGTGCCCATACCTGCCCTCATCCCCTCCCCTCTCCTCCTCTCATCATCACGCACCGCCAACCCCTCCCACCTCGTCACCTACCCCCTTATCCATCTCCACAGCTTCCCACCGCTCACCTCGTCTGCGGGTCCTCGACGCCGCCGCGGGCGCGCTTCATGGCGGCCGTGATGCCCGCGTTCACGCCCGTCACCTACTCTTACCGCATCTCACCTCCCACGAATCACCCATTCCGTTATTCACCCCCTTATCCATCTCCACCCCTTCCCACCCCTTCCCACACCTCACCTCGTCTGCAGGTCTTCAACTCCCCCTCGCGCGCGCTTCATGGCGGCCGTGATGCCCGCGTTCACGCCCGTCATCACCGCGAAGTTTCGCGCCTGCGTCCAAGGCCCCCCTGTGAGCGCCTGCGCACACCAGGGCCAGGCCGCGACGGTAGCACGGTGAAAGGGCCAGGGGAAAGGGTGGTGGGTAGCACGATCGACGTGTGAAGAGACAATTTCTAAGTCTGCTATATGACACGCCTCCACACATCAGGTCACGCGGGGTGGAAAACCCGCTTCACGCAACCTACTATGCCACAGATCCAAACGGTTAGGAAGGTGCGACGGGGAAGGTTCAGGGGTTAGCGACGTGATCAACGGCGGCCGCGGGACGGACAGCAGGGCCGCTGTGCTTTGGATGGGCTGTAGTGTTCGCAGGATTCGATGCTCTGCGACATGATCGTGAGAGTTCATCGTGTTGCGCGACGCTAGCGTTGAGACGTGCGACGTCCGCTGGTTCTGTGCAAGCTTTTTCGTGGATGTTTTTTTTTCAGATTTGTGAAAACCGGTGGATCCAAACCGGTGGATCCGAACCAACCACGAGGCGACACGTCAACGGGTTTTATCATCAATGCGGCTCCGTCATCCGCAACTGATCAGCAACAAGGCATCGCTCCCGAACAAAGTTGACCGATGAAGACGCGCCGTTGCGTCAAGGCGGCCGGCCAAAAAACGACCCTAACACTGCCCCACGTGACGCGTGCACGGAGCCACGCGCTTCAGAGGCTGCATGTGAATCGCCTTAGATGCAGGCTGCTTCTGGCCTCTAGTAGCCGGACACAACCCTGCGCGAATCTGGATCTGGCTTCTCAAGGCCCAACTCTCCCGAGTCGCCCTCCAATAACAGTAGGCGATCCAAGATCCGATATCAGAGAGTAAATGAGCGACTCGGTCTGCACGTCGAAGCCGCCAGGAAACTATCCAACCGTACTCGGCAGAGCTCGCGTCGCACCTGCATTTGCTTCATCGACGCCGCGGCCTCCGGCGTCATTCCCGGCATGGTGGCGGGCGACGGCATGCTGCCGGCCGCCTCCGACGTCAGGTTGCCCATCATCGCGCCGATCGCGCCGCCCTGCAGCGCGCTCGCCGCCGCCACGATCGCCACCTCCACGGGCGGCGGCTGGCGCGCGACCCACGCCTTGGCGCGCCCCTCGATCTCCTGGTACTTTGCCTGTAGCTGCCCGAGCACCATCGCGCCGCCCGCCGAGAGACCGGGAGAGGAGATTCGGTGGGGAGAGAGCTGTTCAAGTGAGAAGATCTGGAGAAGACGAGATTTGGTCGCGACGAGATTTGCTTGGAACGGGCGGATCGCAAAAGCAGACGGCGCGGAGAGGAAAGGCAACGCTGTGGGAGGAAAGGCAAGGCCGTGCGGCGAGGCGATGCGAAGGGGAAACGGAGGGGAGAAGGGTGTTGTTGGTGTGAGCTGGGTCTGCTGCAATGAATTCGTGCCCAGTTTGATGGAAGAACGAACGAAGAAAGATGAAGCACACAGGCAAACGGGAGAGGCAGGCGGGCGAGTGATAGGTGTTGCTGAGCGACGCGCGGAAGGGGAAGAGGAAGGGGACAAGTAGCCTGACGTGTCCGCGAGATTTGGCGGGAAACTCCGGCTGCAGTACACGTGGAAGGAACCAGGGAAAAGATCCATGAAATGACTGAGCGAACGAGGATTGCACTATCGAGGTAGGAAACACTGGTGTGCAACTGCACGGTAGGAATTTAATTGTAGTTACTACCTAGTCCTGCTTTTCTCAGTCCATCGGGAACAATGTTTTTTTGCTCGTAGGTTTTCAAGGCTGAAAGGCATTTCCACAGGCTTGTAAGCAGGCTAGATCCCACAAATTTCATATTCCATTCGAACATAAGCAAAAATATTCTAGCGATGTTTCACTAGAAATAATTATTGTGATTGCACTAATCCGGAAATATCCTGACTTTTGAAAACAGGGGAGACTACAAGAGTTTCTACTTCCCCAGGCAATGCAGCATGATGGCGTTTTGTGCATGCATGCGGTTTTCAGCTTGGGGGAAAACAATGGAGTAAGGAGCCTCCATAACCCCATCTGACACCTCCACCCCCCTCTCCGCTGGCAAGCAGTGCATAAACAGACAATCCTTGCCGGCCCGTGCCATCATCGCTTCATCCACCTGCCAACAATTATCGAGTCCAGGGGAATTTTTTTTTTTTTGATAAGGTGGAGGAGAACCAACAAACAAGGAGTCTCCACTGAACTCTTCTTGACTCGATCCAACACCTCCAACCCCCGCTATGTTGGTAGAAGAAAGCTCCCCTCCCCTCCCTCTCCGTTACCCCCTCTCCCTCCCCTCTCCCTCCCTTCTCCCTCCCTCCCACGCACCTGGAAGCCCTGGAAGGTTTTTTTCCGCGTCTCAGCCTCCTCCTTATACCCCATGCTGGCCCACACATCCGTGTACACCACGTTGCTGCCCTTCACCCCCTCCTCCGGGTCATTCGTAATCTCGATCGTGCTGACCCCTGCTGCTCTCGTGCGCTCCACTGTTGCTGCTCTCCCTCCCTACTCCCCCTCCCTACCCCCCCTCCCCCCCAACGCACCTGGAACCCCTGGAAGGTCTTTTTCGCGTCTCAGCCTCCTCTTTATACCCCATGCTCGCCCACACGTCCGTGTACACCACGTTGCTCCCCTTCACCCCCTCCACCGGGTCATTCGTAATCTCTATGGTGCTGACTCCGGCTGCTCTTTCTCCCTACCCTCCCCCGTCCCTCCAACGCACCTGAAATCCCTGGAAGGTCTTCTTTCGTGTCTCAGCCTCCTCCTTGTACCCCATGCTCGCCCACACGTCCGTGTACACCACGTTGCTCCCCTTCACCCCCTCCACCGGGTCATTCGTGATCTCTATGGTGCTGACCCCGGCTGCTCTGGCGCGTTCTACTGTCTCCGCATCGGGCTCGAAGCCCTTGGGGCAGACACACACGAAGTGCATGGGGATGACTGCTGCCAGGCGCAGCCAGGAGTGGACGATGTTGTTGCCATCACCCACATAGGCCACCTGTGAGATTAGGGGGACAATAGAGATGGGGGAGGATAGGGTTGGGGTTGCATGGGAGAGTGGGTGTGGAAGAGGGGCAGACGCACACAAAGGGGATGACTGCTGCCAGGCGCAGCCAGGAGTGGACAATGTTGTTGCCATCGCCCACGTACGCCACCTGTGGGGATAGAGATGGGGTTGCATGGGAGAGTGGGTATGGAAGAGGGGGGGAAGCACACGAAGTGCATGGGGATGACTGCTGCCAGGCGCAGCCAGCTGTGCACGATGTTGTTGCCATCACCCACATAGGCAAACTGTGGCACACGGGAGAGGGCGGGCCCATGCAAACGGGATGGGACAGGACAGCATGATGGGACAGCATGATTTGGTGAGAGCATCCGCCATGATCTGGCACCGGTGGTCATAGCCCATTATTCAAATACCCCCATTCCCATGCGACACACCCATTGCAAGTGCTCGTCTATCATTGCTCATCACCCATCACACCTTCATGCCTTCAATCTGCCCCATGTGCTCGATGATGGTGAGCGCATCTGCCATGATCTGGCACGGGTGGTTGTAGTTGCATTACCTACCTACCCCCCTTCCCATTCCGCGTGCCCATAGCACGTCTCGAGCAACCCACTGAATGTGCTCACTGTTCATAGCTCGCTCATCTCTCATCTCTCATCTCTCATCACCCATCGCACCTTCATGCCTTCAGGGAATTTTTGAAAATTTTCAAAAATACACTGGAGAATTCTCAAAAACACCCTGCAGCATCTCCCATCGCCCATCTCACCTTCATGCCCTCGATCTGTCCCAGGTGTTCAATGATGGTGAGCGCATCCGCCATGATCTGGCACGGGTGGTTGTAATCCGTCAGCCCGTCCATCCCTTGCCATCCATTCACAACATCCACGCACACAAGTACCCCTGCCAATCTCGCTCACCTTCATGCCTTCAATCTGCCCCAGATGCTCAATGATGGTGAGCGCATCCGCCATGATCTGGCACGGGTGGTTGTACCCGCATTACCTACCTACCCCCCTTCCCATTCCGGGTGCCCATGGCAAGTCTCGAGCGGTCTCACAAAACCACTAATGTGCTCACTGTTCATCTCTCATCTCTCATCACCCATCGCACCTTCATGCCTTCGATCTGTCCCAGATGCTCGATGATGGTGAGGGCATCCGCCATGATCTGGCACGGGTGGTTGTAATCCGTCAGCCCATTCACCACGGGGATACTCGAGTACTTGGCCAGGTCGAGAATGTCCTGAGGGGATGGGGGTGGCACGGACCGGGAAGGCAAGGAAGGGGAGGTGTGGGGAGATGAGACTGACTGACAGCGGGGAAGAGGAGGAGCACAGTCAGAGCAGCCCTTTAACTAGGGATGAGCAAGGGGCGAACACGAACGTGTTCGCGTTCACCCCTGCATGAACACAGCCGTTCGCCGAACCGAACACTGTTCGGCTTGTCAGTCAGGCTTGTCAGGACACTCTCTGAGCTGAGCAAGCCTCAACCTGAGGGTTGAAATCTGTCAGCGCTCTTTCACCATGGGGGTGCACGAATCCAGCAGGACCTGAGGGAATGGTATGGAACCAGCAAAGAACCATCAAGGAAAGAAGAGTGTGCAACAGACCATACCGGGTGTGTAGAGAAGAGCGTGACAGACCATACCAGGTGTGTATAGTGTGACAGATGTAAACCTGGTGGGCGAACAGCCGGGCCATAATAATATCGTTGTATCCACTGATCACGCGGCTGATGTCCCTCGTCTCCTCGCGCTTCCCCAGCTGGATGGTGTCGGGGCCGAGGTAGAGCGCATGGCCGCCCAGCAGGAAGAAGCCCGACTCGAAGCTCACTCGCGTGCGCATGGAGGGCTTGGTGAATATCATCGACATGGTGTGACCCTGGGGGGGAGAAAGGGGAGAACCGGGGTGGAGGAAGGGGAGGCCGGGGTGGGTGCGGGGAGGGCAGAAGGAAGGGGACGGGGAGGGGAGGGCATTAGAAGGAAGCAGCGATGGGGGAGAGCAGGTGGGCTGGTGCGTGGTGTCGGGGCCGAGGTAGAGCGCGTGGCCGCCCAGCAGGAAGAAGCCCGACTCGAAGCTCACCCGCGTGCGCATTGATGGCTTGGTGAATATCATCGACATGGTGTGACCCTGTGTGGAGGGTTAAAATGAGGGGGTGCAAAGGAAAGGGGGGGAGACGAGAACGCATGCTGAAACCTGTGAAGGACCAACTCGAAGCACATCGATGGCTTGGTGAATATCATCGATATGGTGTGACCCTGGGTGGGGAGGGGTGGGGAGAGCACACATGATCACAAAGAAAGAGAAGATGTTGTAACCCGTTTTTGAGGCCTACAGCTCATGCTTATGCGCATGGAGGGCTTCGTGAAGGTCATGGACATGGTGTGGTGTGACAGACGGGGGAGGGGGAAGTAAGGGGTCGTGTATATGGAGTGACAGGTTAGGCGGAGGGGAGGGGGAAATGGATGTTAACCCACCTTGCAGTTACATGATTCTGATCTGATGTTGCTTGACCTTCATTTAGTCTCCACTTGACCTCCACGTGTGGGCATGTGTCTGTACATGTATCTTTTCCCTCCTTGGATGAATGAGCTTGAGAGGTTGGATGGATCGATCACAGGACTTAGCAATCGCTCTCATTTCCTTGGTTTGACCAACAATGCCTTTTCAGTTGATTAAAAGTCAACCTTGTTCCAGGTGTCTCTGAGAACAACCAGAAACGCTTACAGCTGTATAGCCAACTGACCTTAAGGGGCTGGTAGGAGCGATCGCCAGACTTAATAATCGCCTTCACTTCCTTGGCGCGGTTGAGGATGTGGAGGATAGTATCCCTATCAAAGTCGTCAATATGGAGGAAATGCGTGGGAGCAGCTGCAGCAGCTGCAGGAACATGGGATTGAGGGAAAGAAAGATGGATCTGAGATGGGTTCACAAGAGAAAGTGATTTCTTGTTGGGTGACTCAACTAGATGAATGCAATGGACCAGATATAGGGAAAGGAATACTGCATCAGCTTGTTTGAAAAAGGCCCTTTATGTATGCACGTACCACGAACGGAAACTGTTGAAAAGGCAGGAGAACGAGCGACAAGTTTTCGCGAGGCAGTGACACGAGTCACGGGCATTTTCTGAAATTCACAGAAAAGGGCAATGTCAGAGTATGCGAGAGAAATGTGGGTCTTCACCTGCATTTCAAAATCTAAGAATGAGCTCATTCAAATGTTATGGGACCTTGAGCCTTGATTGGAGGAGCAGGATTTGAGACTTTGAGGTGAGAAACAGGAGCTTGTTCCGTAAGTTGAACCAATGATGCAACAAATAACTTGAGAGGAACTGTAAAACTCGTGCCATGAGGCCGCTTTACGCACGTTTTGAGTAGTCTCAGAATGGATTTTGCTATGAGTCGGCTCAGAACAAAGTGTGTTTCTAGTGGACTCAAAACGAATAAGCTCGTACCTTGAGGCCGCTCCATGCAGCGGATTCGCTGATGAGCGCCTTGCTCGTAGTCGCAGTGGCGGCCTGCACGCGAAGGAGGGACAGGAACAGAGAGAGGATCCGAGAAAAAAGGAAGAGGAAACATGAGAAAAAGTCCAGTCTGGGACAAGGTGTCACAAATGATTGCAGTTTTGAGAAGAACACCCACGGGATTCCACTGTTGAGGCTCCTAATACCGAAATGCATACGTTCTGGCTGGGCCGAGAGGCCCAGCTGACTGGTCGCGAAACAATGAAAGAGGCGGGGCTGATTGGTCTCGAAAAAATGAAAGAGGCTGGAAGTTTTGGAATTTGGAACGAGGTGGAAAGCGTACCATGGTAGGCTTGGGGGAGTTCGAGCTCGCTCGGACTGGGATCTGGTCAAGCTTCGTTAGCAGCCTGCGCGGAGGAAGACGGAGACAAGATGGATTATTGCATTTGAATCCCACATTGCTCATAGGATGTCTTCGTAACATTTTCAAGCTGGATTGAACTAGCAGAACGTGGCCCTGTGCAGTACGATGATGTTGGGAGGCGAACCAAGAAATCTCATCTGCTTATGGCCGGTTCTGGAATGTGAATCCTTATTTCCTTCCTCTCGTTCGCTATGGTTAAACGACGAACAGGAATCGTCAAAGTTACCATTCAGAGTGTCCAGCTTCTCGTTAAGTTACAGATCGCAACAGCTGGCATTTGTACGAAATGCAGTAACCACGAGGCAACATTCAGTGATGGCCTTGAAAACGAAAACAATTCGTAGCCCACGAGCGTCCATGACAAGTTCGAGTTTCAAAACACGATTTCACGAGAATGTTGGAAAACCAAACCCACCTGGAGAGATGGCGAGGGTGAACGTGAGCAAGTTCAGCTAATGCAATTAGTTTTCTAAATTCCTAAAAAACGAGTTCCGCCAGACCCACCTGGAAATTCGAAACGCGCCTGATGAAAAGAACGCAACGCTGTTTGTAAGAGCCTGCTAAACGCTCGACTGAAGCAGAATGGAAACGCCAAGACCAGCCTGCAGAAGCAGTAGAGCTAATCCGAGCGGCAATATCAATGGCTTCCCGGATTTCAGCTTGCTATTGACATCTGAGAAATGGAGAAAGCAGGGAGAAATGGAGGTGGGGAAGAAGGGAGACCAGACCAACTGACCAGACCAGACCAGGGAGGTAGGGACAGCTGGAGGGCACATGAGGCTGACAAGGATCAGCGGCAGCACACCAACAACATCTGATTGGTCTGCACATGGCAGCAGCGTCGGATTGGTCTGAACTGAAATTTGCGTGCGGGTTACAATATGCATTATTGGATGACGAAAGACCGCGGAAGCTCGGATGTAACTCCTTTCGGAACTAACGCTCCACGTGTCGCGTTATTAGACGTCACGAAAAGACTTTTCTTCAGCCACTGGAGATCGATGAGTTTCGCTTGAGATCGTTTCCCGCCAACAGATTTTTTAACCAGCCATCACAACGGCGCATCACGACTTCAACGCTCCACCTATAGTGACGAACTGCGTATAACTTTTTTCGTCAATTCCTACCATAACCACATGAATATAATGCGGGAATATAAAGCCCCTATGCACGAGTAGAATATTTTTGCCTTAATATATTTCACATTGGAGTATATGTAAAGGAGAAAATAGATATTCAGTGCATATAGAACCTGGAGAATCAGCATGTAGCCCTTCAATTGTGTCACACTACTGTCTTGGCCTTTTGGAATGGGGTGCAGGAAATACATTGACACATGCATAAACATCGTTTTGAACGAAAGACAAAATAATGGGCAAGCACACGGATGAATGGAATCACGCGTAAATTGTGTGGCGCCGATGCTTGAGGACCAGAAGACTGCGTATTATGAAGTTGGGTCTCTTCCCTTACAACCACAGGCCATGTATTGCTGCTCTCTCGCCACCATCGCCCCTCCAACATTGCTCTTCCATCATCAAACCTCCAGCCCTCCCTATCTCACTTCCTCCATCGCCCTTCACCATCTCACTACTCATCTCATCCCTTTTACCCTTTGCCTTTCCCCTTCCTGCCTTTGCCCTTGAGTCCTTTCACAACAGCATCTGCTGCCTTCTTTAGAGCTCCGCCACCACTCTTCCTTCCCCCTCCTCCTCCCCCTCCCAATCCCCCTCCCCCACCTCCTCCCCCTCCCCCACCTCCTCCCCCTCCCCCACCTCCTCCGCCTGCCCCGCCCTTTGCACCGCCACCGCCTTTCCCCTTCCCTTTGCCTTTTTTCTTGCTGCCTGTTTCTTGGCTGCCCGGGTCAGCAGCCCCATTCCCAGGGTCCAATGGCGAGCCGCTGTTGCTGCCCGCATCCTGTGGGTCAACACTGTCAGTCCCAGCACCTGTGAGAGGGGAGGTAGGAGACGGAAGGTGAGGAGAGGGGAGGGAGGAGAGGGGAGTGGAGGAGAGGGGAGGGAGGAGAGGAGAGGGGAGGAGAGGGGAGTGAGAGGCGAGAACGAGAGGAAGGTAGGGAACTGGTATTGGAAATGAGGGCAGGAGGGGAGCACACTCAGGCTTCAGCAGCAGCGTGTGTTTGATAATTAGAAAAAACACCACCGGGACATTCACAGCATGAACAAACGCATTTAGGTAATTCAACCGTACCTTGACACTTAGAGGAATCAATCCCTCCTCCCTGTATCAGCGGCACACACTGCAGCCCGGTACAGCACTTGCCCATGCCAGGGGGGCAGCGGAAGGAGCGGCAGAACACGGGGTCCTCATCCCCTGGAGCAAGCTTTTGCTTATCACCAGATGCACTGCTCTCGCTGCCGCTGCCGCTATTGCTGCTGCTGCTGCTGCTGCTGCTGCTGCTGCTGCTGCTGCTGCTGCTGCTGCTGCTGCTGCTGCTGTTGTTGCTCGCAGGGTCTGGGTGGATGCAGTCGCTGCTGCCGTCGCACCACCGTCGCTCCGCCAGGCACTGCCAGCCGTTGCGGCAGCGGCGGTGGCCTTCAGGGCACACCAGCGCCGCACACATGGCGCGATCCTCATCGTTGAATGCCTCTGCTGCATCCGGCGCTGATGATGCTGATGCTGCTGGCACTGCTGGTGGTGGCAGGGATGGTAAGGAGGAGGAGGAGGAGGAGGAGGAGGGGGTTGAGAGGCAGTCAGAGACGCCGTCACACCAGTGCTCGCGAGCCACACACTGCACGCCGTTGCTGCACTTCCTGCCCCAATCAGGACAGCTCCAGCTCGCACACACACCCGGATCCTCATCCTCTCCGGTTACCACCCCCGCTGCCGCTGCCGCAACCCCCTTCCCACTGCTGCTGCTGCTACCGCTGCTGCTGCTGGTGCTGCTGCTCGGGCTGGCTTTTATGGAAACGTTTCCTTTTTTGGTGACGGGGCAGTCGATGATGCCGTCGCACCACCGGGCGGCATCCAAGCATTTACTGTTCACCTCGCAACGCATCGTGCCCTCAGCACACACGTGCTTAGCGCACATTGCCGGGTTCTCATCCTCCGTATAAGCCGCAGGGCCCGCTCCTTTATAAGCAGCGTCCGCACTAGAAGCAGATGAGTTACTGCTTGAAGAAAAACCCACTGCTCTTGCAGCTGCGGCTGCTTCTAGCACAGCAGCCATTGCCTCGGCCGCCTCTCTAGCCGACATGTCTTTTCCGGTCACCAGGTCTACACTCGGGCAGTCGTTCACGCCGTCGCACCACAGCTTCTCGCTCACGCAAACGTACCCGTTCAAACATTTCCGGTAGCCCGCCGGGCAGGTGAAAAAGCTGCAGAAAAGCGGGTGTTCGTCAATGGAATAGGGGAGCATGGGGGAGGAAGAGGAGGAGGAGGCGGAGAGGGCAGAGGAGGAAGCAAAGGGATCTGCTTCCAAGGGACAGTCGTTGATGCCATCACAGAGAGCACCCTTAATGCAGTTGAGAGTGGATGAGGAGGGGGAGGAGGGGGAGGAGGGGCAGGAGATGAAGCCAGGAGGGCAGGTGTCTGGCTCGTTCTGTGCTTCTGAGAGGTTTCCATTGCTCTCACCACTGCTGCTGCTGCTGCTGCTGCCGGTGGTACTGTCCCCCTCCCCCTCAACATCCCCCTCCGCCTCCCCCGTTCCCTCCGCCCCCGCCTCCCCCTCCTCCTCCCCCGCCGCATCCTGCGGTGGCGCCTTCCCGGCACACGCCACGTCACTCTCGTCCGACCCGTCAGCGCAGTCCGCGTGGCCGTCACACGTCATCCACGTGCTGAAGCACGCGCTGCCGTCCGCGCACGCCGTCTGCCCCGCCATGCAGGGCGCGGGACACGTGGAGGTCACATCCACGCACGCGCCTCCCGTCCCCTCGCTACTGCCACTGTCACTACTGCTGCTGCTGCTGCTGCTGCTGCTGCTTCTGCTGCTAAACTTGCTCCCGCTGCTGCCGTCGCTACCGCTGCTTGTGGCGGTGCTGCTGCTTGCGGCACTGCTGCTCGCGCCGCTGCCGCTGCTCGATGTTGTCCGCAAGGCTGCTATGCGCGCCCCGTCCCCGACCGTGACCGCAACCGGCGCGCCGTAGCACCGCCGCTGCCCGCGCGGGCACGGCGGGGGCGCGGTGATGATCGAGGGGAAGTCCGCTTGCGCCCACGCCACGAGGGGGCCGTGGGCGAAGGGGGGCGCGGAGAAGGGGGAGGCGGAGAATGGGGAGGCGGAGGGGAAAGGGGAGGGGAACGGGGGGAAGGGGGCGGAGAGGAGAAGCAAGGAGATGAGGAGTGCGCGGATGGGCTGCGCGAGAAAGCCGAGCGTGGAATGCGGCGGATGTCGCGGAGAGACTGTAATCCGGAAAGATGAGAGCGATTCTCTCAAGAGGGAAGGCTGCGGCTGCGACTGCTGCGACTGCTGCGGCTGTAGCGGCTGCGACTGCTGCGATTGTAGCGGCTGCGATTTCTGCGATTGTAGCGGCTGCGACTTCTGCGATTGTAGCGGCTGCGACTGCTGCGATTGTAGCCGTCCCAAGCGTCTGAAACTTCTAAACTGTTTGTTCCAGCAACATTCCGCGTTCTGCGGGTTGCTCCTGCTGGAAAGCGGTCCCCAGACGCACGATAGTGTCACATCCCCGACAGTCACAGGGTCGCCTCGACAAAGGCTGTCACCGACAGCTGCCGAGGGGATGTAGCAATGATCGTTGTAGTCACTATAGGGCGGATTAATATGGTTAAGCCCAACGCAATCACCGCAGTCCCTTCTTTGCAGAAGTTCGCGGCAATTCAGGGCCCAAAGCGAAGAATGGAACGCATCCCCTGCACAACAGCGGCAAGTGCGCTCCCAGCAACAGCGGCGTGTCGAGCCGCCTTGACAATGCGTGAAACACGAATTTCCTGCCCTCTCGTCCCTTGCTCTGTCGTCGCATGCCCTGTCGTCGACTGCTCTGTCGTCGAGACGCGCATCTCCTGGACCCACGAGAGCTAAGGACGCCATTTGGCGAACGAAATTCGGCGAAAATACCCACGTAAGCTAAGAACTCATCGTCATCGCGTGCCGTAGCTTGCGGACTTGCGGTCCCTATGACATTTCGCCTCCCGTGCCGCTCTAGTTAGCTTCTAGCAATGGAGTGTCGAATGCTGCGGATCGGGTCGGGTGTGGAGCGGAGAGGAGAAATCGAGTCAAAGCACTCTCCATAGCGGAAAACAGACCATTTGCTGCGATGGGTTTGCGACATTACACCTGACATTGAACGACAAGCCGACGACGACTGTACGACGGATGTGCGACTGGGGTCAACTAGACAAGAATCTGGGTCAGGGAAAGGTTCGGCAGTTGAAACAGACTTTACCGTATCAAAACACGCCGCACCGAACCGAATTACACAACCTGCTCTTATGTCTGCGACCCGCTAACGAAGCCTGTACATGTCCGTGTATGTTGTGTGGTGTGGTGGGTGTTGAGTTGTGGGCCAACATCATAGACATGCAAATTAGTCTGGTAACCCTATTCGATGGTACACCTGGGCTCCCATAATTTCATTCCCTGTAATTAATTGCAAGGCCCCTGTCGTCACCTGGGGTCAGGAGCTCGAGCGCTTCGGAGGCTGTCAACAGTGAAGTCGAGAGCTTTACAGCCTGTGACCTGACGCGTCAGCACATTTCCACGCTGGAATGAGCTGGTGTAATAGATTCGAGAAGGCTCCCAGGCATGTTTTCCGTGGCTCACAAAGCAAACCAGCCGCACTAGATTCCCACGTGGCAAAAAATGGACGGCCTACGTGAAGGAAATGAATATGGGTAGAAACAAGCGTAACCGACTAAAAAACGATCACAACCACTAAGGGACAACACACACTACTCCCTTCCTCTGGCAGAGAGCAAATTCGACTTCCAAACCCACTTCCAAATGTTCCAGCGGGGACTGACTCAGCGCGAAAATATCTGCGCTTGGGGGAGTTGAAATTAGGGGGAACTTTTTTGTTCCCCGTAATTTCAACCCCTGTGCTAAACGACACAGGTGCGACCCGGTGCCCCGGCTCTGAAATTATCGGAGCCCAGGTGTATGCAAAACCGTCGATACACCAGTTCTGCTGCGCAAAATTGTCTGGTAGCGCCACTCAAAACACTGTGTAACAGCTGACGCAGCACAGAAAAGGAAGAAAATATGTGATTGAATCAGTTGCGTTTTCGATTTCGTATCGTCGTGGTTCTTACCGCGTCTTGTTCGGCGCCTAACAAATATTCCTGCCGGCTACTATTTTCCGCTAAATGTGACGAAAAATCCACTGGAATGAAAGGCTACGGGGTCCATTTCGATAACATTAATTTGGACCAATATATTGCTACCGGGAAATGTAGGGGCAGGGCAGAAAAACAATAAAACCCCTAGGGACCTGGACGCATTTCTGGGAGGGATCAACCCTAAACACGGGAAAGGACATTGTTTTTAGGGTTGATGCCTCCCTGACGCATCCCTTTCCGATCGGGTTTTATTTTTTTCTTGGCCCGAAGAAATCACGTCTTAGCGCGAAGGCAAGCGCGGTAAAGATCAAATTTGAATTAAAAACGAACGCGCTTTCAGGGCAGCATGTCAATAACTTGCAAACAGAGGTAAGACGGTTTTGCATACCATTGGATAGGGTTACCACACTAATTTGCATGTCTATGATGTTGGCCCTTGAGTTGTGCTTTGTGTGCATTGCAGAATGGATTGTCGGTCGGTGGGTGTCACTGCAATGTGATGCGACGCGACGCGAATCGAGACATGCGAATGCGAGAGAGACAAACAGAGCAAGGTAGTGGGAACGTAACGTCAAGTTCGACTCGCAGGTGATCCCCCAGCTGCTTTGGCCTCATTCGGCCAGGCCCCACGGATAAAGTGTAGGGCGATAAAAGCAATTTATAACACTGGCATACAATGGCAGAACCTGTCAAGGCTTTACAACTGGGCCTTAAACACATAGAATTATGTTAATGTTACAGCAAATATATTTTCATTCAACACGACCTTTCACCCACCTAGTCCAAAGAACAGCTAGCATACACAAACAAAAGACGAGCATTTCTTGTCCTTCAACATGCGCTCTCATCCAACTTAATTTCCGCCCCCACGCTTCGGCACAACAATTCCCGTTGGTTTCACCTTTTGCTTGACCTTGTCCGCTGCTGCTTTCACCTTGTCTGCCTGCTTCTTCACCTCCCCCGATGGATCAACTTGGCTCCCCTTTCCACTCCCTGCATTATCCCCACTTCCTCCACTCCCTTTACCCTTCCCACCACCGCTCCCCTTCCCACCACCACTCCCCTTCCCACCACCGCTCCCCTTCCCACCACCGCTCCCCTTCCCACCACCACTCCCGCCACTCTTCCCACCACCCGTCCCTCCACCACTCCCTCCGCTCTTGCCTTTCTTGCCTGGGCCGAGTAGGTCCCCCACTTGAGTGATGGTGGCACCGCTGGTGGGAAGCCCTGTGCGGGGGTCTGAGCAGGCACCACACATGGGAAACGGGGAAACGGGGAAAGGGGGAAAGGGGGAAACGGGGAAAGGGGAGGAGAGTGGGGTGGGGGATATGGGACGAGGGTCAAGAAGTGCAAGAAATGGTGTGATTGGGGTGGAAGGGTAGAGGAGGGGGGGAAGGAAAACAGACTAGGACAGCAAGTCGACTGCTGTTACTACACCCTTCCCCGACTTGTTGAAATCTACAAGAACAGAACAAGAATCCATGTACGGGGGTCTGTGAAATCGCATTGACTTTTGAGTCGACTCAGAACACGAATCCATGTGCGGGGGTCTGCGAGATCGCACCTATAGGCCGCGTGAAGCTGCTGCACATCGCCGGATCTTCATCCTCCGTATAAGACACGTCGGGATTCGTTACAGGGCAGTGGTTCTTGCCGTCGCACATGGCGCCCGGGCGGCAGATGAGCGGCGAGGAGGGGCACTTGAAGGTGCCACGTGGACACCTGTAAGTGGAGCAGAAGTCCTCTCCCTCCTCCGACCCGCTCTTGCAGTCGTTAACTCCGTCGCAGAACTTGCTAGGAGCGATGCACTGCGCGTCTGCAGGGCAGGCCGCCTGGCGAGGGGCGGAGGAAAACGGAGAACGAGGGAAGGGCAATAAGGGGGAGGGGTGAGGCACGCACCCGCTTGAGAGGGGAGAGAAGGCATAAATCACCAGCTCCACTCACCAGTCCCTGCTCAAGCCACAAGCTCCAACTCACCAGGCCTTGAGCCAAGCACCCACTGATGAGTTCGCAATCATCGCCCGTCTCGTCGGACCCGTCGTTGCAGTCCTCCTGCCCGTCACACACCGCCTCGTCCGGCACGCACCCGCTGCTGTCGTGGCAGCGGAACTGCCCCGCCGTGCACTGTAGGGAGAGCGTGCAGAGCATGCCGATCTGCGGGGGATGCGGGGATGGGGGGAGGAGAGTGGGGGAAAAGGGGGAGATAGGGGATAGAGGGGGAATGAGAAAGGGAGGCGCGCACCCGCTGCTGTCGTGGCAGCGGGACTGCCCCGCCGTGCACTGCAGAGAGAGCGTGCAGAGCATGCCGATCTGCGGGGGAAGGGGAAGAAGGAAGGGAAGGGGGAGCGGGGAGGGCAGATAGAGGGGAATAGAGGGGAAGAGTGAGAAGGATGCGCGCGCTCGCTGCTGTCGTGGCAGCGGAACTGCCCCGCCGTGCACTGCAGAGAGAGCGTGCAGAGCATGCCGATCTGCGATGGGGAGGGGGAGGACGGGGGGAAAAGGGGAGGAAGAGAGAACAGAGGATGGGATGACGCGCCACTTTAGAGTCGAGAATGTCGACCCGTCCTGTAAACGGAGGACGAGACGGGCGGCGACACTTTACTTGCCTAAACTGACGAGTTACTTTAACAGCCGACTCAAGAATGTCGCTTCAACGAGAACACGTCCCGCTGCCAGCACTGTCCAGAGCTTAAGGAAGGGATGGTCGCAACTTCTTCACGATGGTAACAAATCACACCTTAGCGCACACGGCAGTAACGATTCGCACCTTGACGCATGCGCCGTTGGAGCACCGCCGTTCCCCCTTGGGGCACGCCGCCACGGCCGGCGGCGAGTCGGGGTCCGCCGCCGCCGTTGTCCCTCCTGCGCACGCCGTATCCCCCGCGGGGCACTTGGGCGGCGGGGTGTAGCTTCCGCTGATGACGTCATCTCCCGCATCGCCGCCGTCCCCGCCGAGGGTCGTGCCAGTGATGCCGGTTGGTTTCACAGACGTTGCGGCGTAAACGGCGGCCTGCAAGAGGGAGGGGAAGAGCAGGTGGCGGGGAGGGAGAGTATTATGAGTCGACTCAAGATACACGCGGTCGTGCCGGTGATGCCGGTTGGTTTCACGGACGTTGCGGCGTAAACGGCGGCCTGCAAGGGAGAAGGGGAAGAGAAGGTGGGAGAGGGAGAGGAAAGGGATGTGAGGAAAGGGGGTGGTGGGAGGAAAGGGTTGGGAGGGGGAAGGAAGGGAGGTGCGCCGGTCGGACGCGCGTGACGCACGTGAAGCCGCGACGTAGAGGCCGCGTGAAGCGGAGGGGAGGAGGGGGAAACCAACATCTGAAGCGGAGGGTGTGCTGGTCGGACGTGCGTGACGCAGAGGCCGCGTGAAGTGGAGGGGAGGGGAGGAGGGAGAAGCGGCAAAGCAGAGGCGACTGAGGCTTGCCAAATTATGGCACGGAGACGCCACCCCCGAGAATAAGTTGTGAGTCGACTCAAGAAGCTGCGTGAAGCGGAGGGGAGGGAGAAGCGGTGAATCGGAGGAGGAAGTAGCCGCGAAGCAGAGGCGTCTGAGGCACGGAGACGCTACCCCCGAGGTTAAGAGAGAAGGGCAGCGCCATATTCTCTCGTCAGCGGAACCGCGACATGGCGACCTGCAGTGAGAAGGTCTGGCTTTCCGTCAGGTGCAAGGCGGAAAGAGGTGCGCGTGGCGGTTTTTATAGCGAGGGGGAGGGACGGGATGCTTTTTGCGACGAATCTCGCGAAGACTGAGCTTGGGATGGGGTTACCACCTCGCTAAGCGGCTGACAAATCGAGCGGTCTTTTTAGCGTCGGGATTCCGCCCACTTGTGCAAAAAAAAAAACAAAAAAGGAGCAGCCACGAACGTGGGCCTACTAACGGTGCAGTGCAGCACTAACAGGGCGGAAAAAAAAAAAAAGAAAAAGAAAAAGAAAAATTTGGATGGCATCCATACCACTCGGCGTTACCGCCTGAAAGAAAACAGGGAGTAGTAGCACCCATAGCTGCGCTCGACGGTTGGGGGCTATTCGACGTCTTTCTTGTGAAGAAGTTTAGGGATTAAAAGGCTGGCTGAAGGCTTAAAGGGATATGCGAGTTGACAAGTGGCGGATGGCTGGAGGCTACTCGGCTTTACCTCTGTCAGTGAAAGCGTCAGCGACGCGAGGAGCAGCGCACCGAGCGAGCAGGCTAGTAGCGGAGTTAATCTCCTTTGCCCCATCCCCGCAACTCGTGCCGTCTGCTCGCGTTTTTTCCGTGAGACAACCATTTCGACGTCTCGCTTGTTAATCCCCACACCCAGACAGCCAAATAGGGTACTTCCTTTCTCGTTCCTTCCCGGCAACCAAGACTCTGTACTACCTATTCGCGACTCTCTTACACGCAGTCTATATTTTATCGTCTGCTTCTGTTGTCCTGCTGATAAGTTCTCTGTTGTGAAATGGAGGGTTGTTTCCCTTCAGGAGGAATGCGGTCGTGCTAGAGCAGGGACCGAAGTTTAGGTCGGTTTGAGCTGGTTTGGAAGCATGGTGACTGCAAAGCACGACAGCACCTGTTGCCAATCACATTTCACTACCACCACCCTGAGATGAGATACAAAACGAAACTGCCGAGTATACACTGAGGGCGGAGTCAGGTTGTACATTTTCTCACGCGTTTACAGTTCTTATATCGTGGTCAAGGAAGGTCCAATACGGTGAGAAGCGGTCCTCAAAGTTAACCGCTCTGAACCGTTTTGAAACGAAGATAACCGCAGTAGGCGTACAAATAGTTGTACAACCTGACTCCGCCCTGATAGGTGCAAGTCGGTGCTTCGTGCGTGAAATGTGAGATGTGAACCGCAAGCAGCCGAGGCTGAGAAGGGGACCAGGGAGTGTCCATTGATGCAATCAGAGTAACAGCACCCAGTAGAGGACACCGAGTTTTGATTCCCAGGGCTTTGTTGGTACAGTACAGAGATGCACCCAGCACTCCCGAACACGCTTCTGACCCTGATACGACACGAAGTACAGTACCTAAGTTACGCCCCGAAATTCCATTCAGTGGTTTCAGGTGGAAAATCAGCTACCCTATGTTGGCTGCCTGGCACCATGTCAGACCAAGTTGGCTGCGAGTGGGACTCTGCCGAACCGCCTTTCGCAGCAGTTGGGCAAGCGGAACACCTGCCAAGTTGCTCGAGCATCTCCATGGTGTATCATCTGAAACCGTTATAGAGCCTCTCGATCAATTAGAGTAACCAATTTAGCACAGCATCTAAATCAGTATTCAAACATTTCTGACATCTTTTAAATTAGTATTTATATGTACGAAGAAAAAGTTTTAAATTACTGAAACATCCAAAAAATGCATCCATTCTCTGTTCGTAACAAGAAATGCCGGGGAAATATGTATAAGGAATCATCTAGTTATGTCTCGAGCTTCAATTCAACTGCTTTAGCAATCCGCTACTTGAGGAACGTTATGGCGAAGTATAACAGCTCAGCACTCCCCGACGCTGACGCAGCAACACGTCCGCGCTAATAGCCCATCCGCTGCAGCCGTTTCCTTCGCGGCCCCGCCGCTGATTTCCCAATCGGACATTACAAAAACTCGCTCTGGGTGGGCCACAAAAGTGGTTGAGCACGGTATTGTGCAATCTGACGCGGTCTTTCTGCTTTATTGCTCGGAACTCTTGCGACTCCCCCCCTCACTCCCCCCTTCCTCTTCCCCACCTCACTTACCAGCCAACACGTCAGCCAAAGCAGCAAGCAAGCAGCCGTCGATCGCTCTCCCGCTTCCCATCCAACCAATCACAGCGAGCAGCGCAGCCCAGCCATCCGCCGTCAGACCCGTCGAGTCCGCTCCGCGCCTCTCACAACAGCTTCCGCTCTTAGCCGCTCTCCTCCCCGCCGTCCCTTTCGTGGACTGCGCTTTCCGCTCGCCCCGCCCCGCTCTCCGCTTCTGGGTGCGCCTTCCCCGAGGCGCTCGCCCACGTGGCGTTTCCGCTAGTCGATTTCCGTCCCGTCTCTCCTCCACTGATCGCGTTACACGTGGCAGTGTTATCGCACCTCGTCCACCTGGGAAGGCGCTTCGAGGGCGGACTTAATCTGCCGCTTCGCTCTCTGTTTGGGGGTATTTCGACTGCCTGTTCCGCCGCATATCGCGGCGCCGATAGCGTCGCGCGTAGAACGTTGAAACCGTTCTAAGAGGTGTCGCGTTCCTCGCGTCGCCCTTACCTCTCGTGTCGTCAATAACCCGCTTCCACGATCGCTTCGTAGCCGCCTGCCTGATCAGGTCTGACGGTGGCCGTCAGGTTTACAGTTCGCCGTTAAATCTGCCAATAGCCGTCAAGTGCGCCGGTGACCGTCAGCGACCATGAGGGCGCTGGTGGCCGTGAAGCGCGTGATCGACTATGCCGCCAAGATCCGCGTCAAGGCGGACGGGGTGAGCTTATAGCGAGGGGTGGGACCTATGACTCTAACGGGGAAGCGCGGACGGGAATATAGCAGAGATGGGATTAACTCCCTTCTTTTTTCTTTGTTCCCCCTTTTCTTTCCCGTTCCTTTCCTCACCTCCCCTCCCCCTCACTCCCCCCCCCCCCCCCCCCCCCCCCCTTCTTCTTCTTCCCTTCTCCACCCCGATTACGGACATCTTGATGACAATCGCCCTCTCCACCCCACGTCCTCCCTCTGCCAGTCCAGAGTGGAGAGGGCGAGTGTCGTTAAGATGTCCGTGAATCCCTTCTATCTGTGAGATTGCAGTATAGGAAGCAATCCGGTTCAGCTCAGCTCACCTCTCCTCTTTCCTCTCACCTGTCCCTTTTCCTTTCACCTTTCCCCTTTCCTCTCACCTCCCTCCCCTCCCTCCACCCAACCCGCTTCATTCCCCTCAGACCGGAGTGGAGAAGGCGAGTGCCAAGGTGTCAATGAATCCCATCTGTGAGATTGCGGTGGAGGAGGCGATACAGTTGAGATCATCATTCCTCTTTCCATTCTTCCCCCTCCACGCGCCTCCGCTCCCCTCCCTCCCTCGGACCAGTCCGGAGTGGAGAAGGCGAGTGTCAAGATGTCAATGAATTCCTTCTGTGAGATAGCAGTGGAGGAGGCCACTTGGTCGACCTGACCTCACTGCTCTTCGTCCCTTTCCTCCCCCGTCCCCTTCACTTTCGTCTCCTCCTATTCCTTCTCAATCAGAGTGGGGTGGAGAAGGCGGGTGTGAAGATGTCAATGAATCCCTTCTGTGAGATCGCCGTGGAGGAGGCGATTCGGTTGAGGGAGAAGGGGGCGATCAAGGAGGTGGTGGCGGTGAGTCTGGGCGTGCAGCAGTGCCAGGACACGCTCAGGTGAGATTATTGCTATATGGAAACGCTTAGATAGGGATTCACTGGGTCTCTGAGTTGAACTTGTTGCAAGAAAGGTTCAAATGAGCCAGCACGCGTCGGTTGAGTTGAGGGAGGAGGGGCTGGTCAAGGAAGGAGGTGGTGGCGGTGAGTCTGGGCGTGCAGCAGTGCCAGGACACGCTCAGGTGAGAACAGTGCTGGATGGGTTTTAACTAGGTACAAGAATGGTTAAAATGACTTCAGAAACATTGGTCGAGGGAGAAGGGGGCGATCAAGGAGGTGGTGGCCGTCAGCCTGGGCGTGCAGCAGTGCCAGGACACACTCAGGTGCGATCAGCAGCTGGAGGGATTGTGAGTTTACACTCTTTTATCACAAGAGTGGTAGATATGAGTCAACACAAGGCGGTTGATGGAGAAAGGGGCGATCAAGCAGGCAGTATCCATCCGACCCGACTGAGTCGATAAAAAGTGACGTCAGTCACCTGCCAGGTCACGCTCAGGTGAGATCAGTCAGTGCTGGATGACATGGCACAACTGACATGGCACAACTGACATGGCACAACTGACATGGCACAACTGACATGGCACAACTGAAACACGCTGTGCCTTCTGGAACACGCTGTGCCTTCTGAAACACGCTGTGCCTTCTGAAACACGCTGTGCCTTCTGAAACACGCTGTGCCTTCTGAAACACGCTGTGCCTTCTGAAACACGCTGTGCCTTCTGGAACACGCTGTGCCTTCTGAAACACGCTGTGCCTTCTGGAACACGCTGTGCCTTCTGGAACACGCTGTGCCTTCTGGAACACGCTGTGCCTTCTGAAACACGCTGTGCCTTCTGAAACACGCTGTGCCTTCTGGAACACGCTGTGCCTTCTGAAACACGCTGTGCCTTCTGGAACACGCTGTGCCTTCTGGAACACGCTGTGCCTTCTGAAACACGCTGTGCCTTCTGGAACACGCTGTGCCTTCTGAAACACGCTGTGCCTTCTGGAACACGCTGTGCCTTCTGAAACACGCTGTGCCTTCTGAAACACGCTGTGCCTTCTGGAACACGCTGTGCCTTCTGGAACACGCTGTGCCTTCTGGAACACGCTGTGCCTTCTGGAACACGCTGTGCCTTCTGAAACACGCTGTGCCTTCTGAAACACGCTGTGCCTTCTGGAACACGCTGTGCCTTCTGAAACACGCTGTGCCTTCTGGAACACGCTGTGCCTTCTGAAACACGCTGTGCCTTCTGGAACACGCTGTGCCTTCTGGAACACGCTGTGCCTTCTGAAACACGCTGTGCCTTCTGGAACACGCTGTGCCTTCTGAAACACGCTGTGCCTTCTGGAACACGCTGTGCCTTCTGAAACACGCTGTGCCTTCTGAAACACGCTGTGCCTTCTGGAACACGCTGTGCCTTCTGAAACACGCTGTGCCTTCTGGAACACGCTGTGCCTTCTGAAACACGCTGTGCCTTCTGGAACACGCTGTGCCTTCTGGAACACGCTGTGCCTTCTGGAACACGCTGTGCCTTCTGAAACACGCTGTGCCTTCTGGAACACGCTGTGCCTTCTGGAACACGCTGTGCCTTCTGGAACACGCTGTGCCTTCTGAAACACGCTGTGCCTTCTGGAACACGCTGTGCCTTCTGAAACACGCTGTGCCTTCTGAAACACGCTGTGCCTTCTGAAACACGCTGTGCCTTCTGAAACACGCTGTGCCTTCTGGAACACGCTGTGCCTTCTGAAACACGCTGTGCCTTCTGGAACACGCTGTGCCTTCTGGAACACGCTGTGCCTTCTGGAACACGCTGTGCCTTCTGAAACACGCTGTGCCTTCTGAAACACGCTGTGCCTTCTGGAACACGCTGTGCCTTCTGAAACACGCTGTGCCTTCTGGAACACGCTGTGCCTTCTGGAACACGCTGTGCCTTCTGAAACACGCTGTGCCTTCTGGAACACGCTGTGCCTTCTGAAACACGCTGTGCCTTCTGGAACACGCTGTGCCTTCTGAAACACGCTGTGCCTTCTGAAACACGCTGTGCCTTCTGGAACACGCTGTGCCTTCTGGAACACGCTGTGCCTTCTGGAACACGCTGTGCCTTCTGAAACACGCTGTGCCTTCTGGAACACGCTGTGCCTTCTGGAACACGCTGTGCCTTCTGGAACACGCTGTGCCTTCTGAAACACGCTGTGCCTTCTGGAACACGCTGTGCCTTCTGAAACACGCTGTGCCTTCTGGAACACGCTGTGCCTTCTGGAACACGCTGTGCCTTCTGGAACACGCTGTGCCTTCTGGAACACGCTGTGCCTTCTGAAACACGCTGTGCCTTCTGGAACACGCTGTGCCTTCTGAAACACGCTGTGCCTTCTGAAACACGCTGTGCCTTCTGGAACACGCTGTGCCTTCTGAAACACGCTGTGCCTTCTGAAACACGCTGTGCCTTCTGAAACACGCTGTGCCTTCTGAAACACGCTGTGCCTTCTGGAACACGCTGTGCCTTCTGGAACACGCTGTGCCTTCTGGAACACGCTGTGCCTTCTGAAACACGCTGTGCCTTCTGAAACACGCTGTGCCTTCTGGAACACGCTGTGCCTTCTGAAACACGCTGTGCCTTCTGAAACACGCTGTGCCTTCTGAAACACGCTGTGCCTTCTGAAACACGCTGTGCCTTCTGGAACACGCTGTGCCTTCTGAAACACGCTGTGCCTTCTGAAACACGCTGTGCCTTCTGAAACACGCTGTGCCTTCTGGAACACGCTGTGCCTTCTGGAACACGCTGTGCCTTCTGGAACACGCTGTGCCTTCTGAAACACGCTGTGCCTTCTGAAACACGCTGTGCCTTCTGAAACACGCTGTGCCTTCTGGAACACGCTGTGCCTTCTGAAACACGCTGTGCCTTCTGAAACACGCTGTGCCTTCTGAAACACGCTGTGCCTTCTGAAACACGCTGTGCCTTCTGGAACACGCTGTGCCTTCTGGAACACGCTGTGCCTTCTGGAACACGCTGTGCCTTCTGGAACACGCTGTGCCTTCTGGAACACGCTGTGCCTTCTGAAACACGCTGTGCCTTCTGAAACACGCTGTGCCTTCTGAAACACGCTGTGCCTTCTGGAACACGCTGTGCCTTCTGAAACACGCTGTGCCTTCTGGAACACGCTGTGCCTTCTGGAACACGCTGTGCCTTCTGGAACACGCTGTGCCTTCTGGAACACGCTGTGCCTTCTGAAACACGCTGTGCCTTCTGAAACACGCTGTGCCTTCTGAAACACGCTGTGCCTTCTGGAACACGCTGTGCCTTCTGAAACACGCTGTGCCTTCTGGAACACGCTGTGCCTTCTGGAACACGCTGTGCCTTCTGGAACACGCTGTGCCTTCTGAAACACGCTGTGCCTTCTGGAACACGCTGTGCCTTCTGAAACACGCTGTGCCTTCTGGAACACGCTGTGCCTTCTGAAACACGCTGTGCCTTCTGAAACACGCTGTGCCTTCTGGAACACGCTGTGCCTTCTGAAACACGCTGTGCCTTCTGAAACACGCTGTGCCTTCTGGAACACGCTGTGCCTTCTGAAACACGCTGTGCCTTCTGGAACACGCTGTGCCTTCTGGAACACGCTGTGCCTTCTGGAACACGCTGTGCCTTCTGAAACACGCTGTGCCTTCTGGAACACGCTGTGCCTTCTGAAACACGCTGTGCCTTCTGGAACACGCTGTGCCTTCTGAAACACGCTGTGCCTTCTGAAACACGCTGTGCCTTCTGAAACACGCTGTGCCTTCTGAAACACGCTGTGCCTTCTGAAACACGCTGTGCCTTCTGAAACACGCTGTGCCTTCTGAAACACGCTGTGCCTTCTGGAACACGCTGTGCCTTCTGAAACACGCTGTGCCTTCTGAAACACGCTGTGCCTTCTGAAACACGCTGTGCCTTCTGGAACACGCTGTGCCTTCTGAAACACGCTGTGCCTTCTGGAACACGCTGTGCCTTCTGGAACACGCTGTGCCTTCTGGAACACGCTGTGCCTTCTGAAACACGCTGTGCCTTCTGGAACACGCTGTGCCTTCTGAAACACGCTGTGCCTTCTGGAACACGCTGTGCCTTCTGGAACACGCTGTGCCTTCTGAAACACGCTGTGCCTTCTGGAACACGCTGTGCCTTCTGAAACACGCTGTGCCTTCTGGAACACGCTGTGCCTTCTGGAACACGCTGTGCCTTCTGAAACACGCTGTGCCTTCTGGAACACGCTGTGCCTTCTGGAACACGCTGTGCCTTCTGGAACACGCTGTGCCTTCTGAAACACGCTGTGCCTTCTGAAACACGCTGTGCCTTCTGGAACACGCTGTGCCTTCTGAAACACGCTGTGCCTTCTGAAACACGCTGTGCCTTCTGAAACACGCTGTGCCTTCTGAAACACGCTGTGCCTTCTGGAACACGCTGTGCCTTCTGGAACACGCTGTGCCTTCTGGAACACGCTGTGCCTTCTGAAACACGCTGTGCCTTCTGAAACACGCTGTGCCTTCTGGAACACGCTGTGCCTTCTGAAACACGCTGTGCCTTCTGGAACACGCTGTGCCTTCTGGAACACGCTGTGCCTTCTGAAACACGCTGTGCCTTCTGAAACACGCTGTGCCTTCTGAAACACGCTGTGCCTTCTGGAACACGCTGTGCCTTCTGGAACACGCTGTGCCTTCTGGAACACGCTGTGCCTTCTGAAACACGCTGTGCCTTCTGAAACACGCTGTGCCTTCTGAAACACGCTGTGCCTTCTGGAACACGCTGTGCCTTCTGGAACACGCTGTGCCTTCTGGAACACGCTGTGCCTTCTGGAACACGCTGTGCCTTCTGAAACACGCTGTGCCTTCTGAAACACGCTGTGCCTTCTGAAACACGCTGTGCCTTCTGGAACACGCTGTGCCTTCTGAAACACGCTGTGCCTTCTGGAACACGCTGTGCCTTCTGGAACACGCTGTGCCTTCTGGAACACGCTGTGCCTTCTGAAACACGCTGTGCCTTCTGGAA